AACCAGCCCCGTTTCGCCCACCTCCCCCGCATCTCGTCAACCATATCTGTCGGGACCAGCAGGGACCTGTAAATCACCTTGGTGGCCACCTTGTGAATTCTGCAACCCTTCCTGAGGGAGTTCTTGGGCGCCCACTCCCACACCGAAGGGTTCCAGGGGAGTTGGAGTGGCTTCAAGGCCGGTTTGAAAGGTCGAAAGGCACCTCCCGAAGATACTGACTGGTCCCTCACCACCCCAACCGATCTTATGGTATCTTCATGAACTCTGCCATCCCGTCCTGGCCGCCGAACCAGAGGCTCCCCCAAGACCATCTGTGGTCCAACATCCTCCCAAGCCTCTGTCGTGTACCACTGAGATCCCACCTTCTCTTTTAACTGAAAGAAGACCATCGGTCGGTCCTGCCCCTCCATCGTTACCCATTCCCCCTGAGTGCGGTCCTTGGATATGATGCAGTCCACCCATTCCGGTGGGATTGCTTGTTTAATCGCGTCCAACCTTTCTTTCTTCTTTGGCTGGTGGTCCAACTGTCGCAGCACCTCCCCCTCCTCCTTCCATGTACCCCTCAACACATCCCAAATATCAACAACCCGGTGCACCCCATGCTCCAGCGATTGCCTCCCAAAGGCACACATTCCACCCTGCCATGGAAAAGGAGCCCCCATCTGTGAAATGAACCGGTTACCAAACAAGGACTGCCCAAGAATCTGATCACCAGTCGGAGAGGCCAATTGCCTTAGGGGTGCTTCACGCCACTTTTCCAGGGTTCCTGACCACAGTGCCCCCCTGCGGAGGCCATATAAGAGTTGAGGATGGAGGAGGGTCGTTTCAACGTCCGCCGGGTGTACCCTGATTGCTTCCGCCATTTGTTGTAATGTGACAACCTTCCAAGGCTCCGTATCATCCTCTAACAGGAGCCACAAAATAGAACGCATTTGTAGGGCGGCAACCTGCACTCGAGGGTCCAACAAACCCAGGCCCCCGGCCGATCTCGGTTGCACCAGTTTCTCCCACCGCACCCTATAGATAAAATGTGAAGTACAAGGATCGTCCTTCCATAGAAATTTCCTAAGGGTGCCCTTGTAACCTTTCCACGCCCTCTTAGGAGGGTCCGAAACCGCTCCCGCATACCACAACGTCGCAGAAACCGCATTGTTGGCAATGAGGACCTTACCAAATATACCATGTGTTGCGCGTTGTCCCAAGCTACCATTCTCGTTACTGCTCGATGGAGCAGGTCCTCTAATTGGTCTCCTGAAGACAATGCCGCAGGGACCTGGATGCCCAAGTACAGAAACTGTTCCTCAGCTGACTGAGTCCTCATACCTTGAAACATCAAGATATCAGCGCCGTTTGGAACCACTGCCATAGATTTCCCCTAGTTTACACGTGCCCCCGCATATTTTTCAAACAGAGACACTTCATTACGTAAGTCCGAGACGCTCTCGTTTGTCAACCGGGACATCGCGGCGGTATCGTCTGCGAACGCGTTTGATTTCACCTGTTCCCCCCCTGGTAACTCAAAACCCAAAATCTGGTCATTTGCGCGGATCATCTCGTGCAGGTGCTCAACGTATAATGCCGGAGACAGCCCTGTCTCACAGAGCGCGTGACCTTCAAGGGGGAGGACAACAAGCCATAGACCTGAACTCTGGCCTCAGCCATCCCCAAAACCACTTCGACTGCCTTAACAAAGCCCCCCCCTACCCCTCTATGTCTCATGCCCTGCAGAAGATAAGGCCATCTAACCCTATCATAGGCCTTCTCGAAATCCAAAAACAAAGTGGCCAAAGAGGGCTGGGAGCAACGCGCCCTTTCCATGATCTGTCGAACCAGAAGGACATTTACCAAAATCTGTCTCCTGACCACGAACCCCGTCTGTGTCGGGTGAACAAGAGACGGCAATACACGAGCAACCCTGTTGGCCAACACTTTCGCGTACATCTTGTATGGCACCGACAACAGGGAGATAGGCCGCCAGTTCCTAACTTCCTCCACATCCCCTTTCTTGTACAAGAGAATGATTGTGGCCTGTCCAAAGTTGACCGGGAGAGCTTCTTCTCCTGAGAACAACCGGTTGAAATCAATGCACAAGTAGGGGAGGAGGATCTATTTAGCAACCAACAGGTATTCCGCCGGCAGACCATCCGGACCCGGAGCCTTGCCCTTATGCATCCCACCCATCGCCTCCGCGACTTCCTCTTGTGTGATAGGCGCGTCCAGGGCCGTCCTATGTTCTGGTGCGACAAAGGTGGTGGACTTCGACCATACATCATTCATAGGTAAGGAAGCCATGTCCTCAACAGACCAATTCTCATCCTCACGATACACATCAGCATAAAATAATTCCACGTACCTGAGGATGTCTGAGGTACTCTCCGCCCTCGGTTCCAGCGGATCAAAAGGGTGTCCCATCGAAACAATCAAAGGGGAGTGAGATGACTTCTTCATTTGGGCAAAAAAAACCTTGGACATTCGTTCGGCATTCCGCACCCACTTAGTCTTGGACGCTAGACCCCAGAGGTCCGCGTCCCGGGCCTGCCAGTCCACCCACTCTGAATGCAGCAGAACCCATTCCGCCCACCACTCATCCTCTGAACCTACCGGCGGGACTTCTCCCAAGGCTTCCATCCGCCGAAGATACTCTTGGCCTGTATGGTCATGCGCCAGCCTGGATGCCTTAGCTCTTCTTTTCATGTTTGTTGCCAAAACCCGGATCCCCTGCTGGAAGTGCTCCAAAAACAGCGTGTGTTCCAGGACTGCTGCAAGCCAGAGCTCCCAATGCTGCTTCACCAAATCTTTACCAAGTGACTCAGGCAACAGCCACACCGGGGCTGTCATCGGGGGTGGTCTTCTGACCACCTGAGGGTTCAATGCAAACGATGTCATGATGAACTTGTGATACGAAATCGGGTACAGCTGCTGATCAAAGCTCTGAAGATTTGGCAACAAACCTGAAGAAACCCAGGCCATGTCGAGCCTGCTGCACAGTTTCACAGTGCAAAGTGTTCACACTTGGACGTGCATGGCTTAGTCTTTGAGACAAGCATATGACTACTGGGACGATCAACCAGGTAGCGGGTGTGACGAGCAGCCGCAAGGAGCGATGGCCGAGGTGCACGTAGGCACGTCACGCCGGACAGCCTACCAAAAGAACGTCGAACAATCGTGGAACGTGGAATGAGCTGCCGAGACGCCGTGAAGTCCGGCTCTTTGAAGTGCAGGTGAACTTCCCTCCGTAGGCCATCTCCAACGGCAAGGTACCGCACARTCCAACACAGCCCGCCGCACCCGCCCAAGAGATTGGGTGCGAACAGCACCCGCCCACACCACACCCAGAGATCGCAAGTTAACCACACTACCCGAACAACCGCGTGCGCAAAGGAACCACCGACAGCTTCGGCCCACAGCCGGATGCCACCGCCTGCCCAAAACGTACAGACAGCGAAGTGCACAGCCTCATCTCTCCATCGAGAAAC